CACACACCAAGACAAGGCCAGCCACAACACAGCCGATGATAAGCCCCAGATTTAGTTCTGAATTGGGAGGAAGAGCAGATAATTGAAGGAGATTCCCCAAACAATCATCCCAATTAGGGGAGAGACCTAAAGCAGCCAAGCTGGAAATTCCCCAAATTAAAAACTCCATGGGCTCCTCTTCATGTCCCTCTGAGGGAAGAATGAAGGCGCCTTGCTAACCAAGAAAGAGGGGAGGGACAGAAGCTAAGAGAGGATCTAAGAGGATTTCATCAGGATCGGCCAACTCTTGTGATGGGATTCTGGAGTTTCCTTTACATCCCCTGAAGCCACTTCTATGGTCTGGTCCCTGCAGCTTCACCAACCTCAAACACTGGAAAAAACAATGGCTTAAAGGTCAGGTATGCTCACATCTGGACACAGCTGGGGTGAGATTTCCCTCCCACTCCCTCCAGCCTGCCAAAGAGCCCAGCCTTTCCCTCCCTCCAGCCTCTCACCCTCCAGGGCCACGTCCAGAGGCTCCTGCAGGCTGTCGTGCTCCACGTGGCACCAATAGCGGCCCCTCTCTTTGGGATCGATCCGGATGCTGAGCCAGGCGTGGAAGGTCCCATCCGCGTTGGGGGCCACAGACACACGGAAGGTATCCTGCAGCCAGACCTCCCCGTCCCTCGTCCAGGAGGCATCGATCTCCCTGGGGTAGAAGCCATGCAGGCGGCAGACGTGTGTCTCCATCCCATCCTCCACCTCCGTCTTGCTGCTCATGGTCACCTCTGGGGGCTCTGCAGAAACGGCACCCCCGGAATTAACTCTGAGCCCCTCCAGAGCCTGGAAGGTGGGTGGGAAACTTGGGAGGGGCAGGAAAGTCTCCCACTACTTCCCACTCCACACCTGCAGCATCTCCAAGAGTTTTAGGAAATGCAACACAGAGGTTTCTTTCTACAGCTAATACAGCTAATACAAGGGAAGGGAAGGGGGTCAAGGAGCCCAGAGGGGAAGGGGTCGACCCAGTGGGGAGAGGTTGTCTAGATGAGAAAATAAGAACAAATCACAGGAAAAAATTACACTGTGAGGCCTCCTGTGGGGCGAGGGGTTTTTACTGAAGATGGGGAGGGGGTTGTTTTGAGGAAAGACTGTCAGAATTGAGGGAACCTGTTTGAGATTTAACGGAAAGATCTACAGAAACTTTGGGAAGAAAAGAACCCCTGAACCTTGGCCTTTTTTTGCCCAATTGGGGCTCTGAGGATGTCTTATTAATGGTAAAAGTGGAGCCCTCTAGTGGTGGTGGTAGGAGGTGCACCATCAGGTGCAGAGCAGGGACAGAGCCCCCTGTGGGATGTGGCGGGAAGGAGAGTTACAGTAGTAGTCAAAATTGTGGAAACCTTTTGATAAAAGTGTACAGTAGAAATGCCACCCTTGGTTAAGTTTCCACCAATTTTTCTTCTAATTTCTTTATAACTGTAGCCTTGTTCACTTAATAACTCTATTTTACATCGCTTTCTGGGCCACTGGTCAACTCTTCGCACCATTACTTTAATTTTATTACATTTTACAAACTCACTAAATGAAAGAACACAAAAACCCCCAACCAACTTGATAGTGATCACATAACACACTGAGAAATGTCCTCCTCTCAGCTTCAATACACGACATCAATAACTGAATCCTACTGTGATCTGATTGGCTCATTGCCAAAACAAGATGACACTGATTGGCTCTCTAAACACACATGCGCATTGGCTACAATCAGATGAAGGAAAGCTACCTGACATCAACCTAAGCAAGTTGTGCTTCTTTTTCTGGTTATTTGGCTATAACTTTTCATAGAATACAGTACAGATAATTGAACAAATTTTGTTGCATTATATTCTTGATTAAATTATCTTTCCATTGATATATAATTTTATGGTACTACTCCCCCCAAAAAGTGGTGTTACTAGCCATCAAACCTCAAAAATACACTTTTCCTGACAGGTTTCCACAATTTTGGCCACTACTGTAATGGGGGGAAATTAAAAGACCCCTCAACCTTGGCCTTTGTTGCCCAATTGGGGCCCTGAGGATGTCTTATTAATGGTAGATATGGAGCCCCCTAGTGGTGGGTGAGAGAGGTGCATCATAAGGTGCAGGGTAGGGAAGGAGCCCCCTGTGGGATGTGGGGGGGGGGAAGGAGAATTAATGGGAGGAAATTAAGGGTGCCCCACACTTGACTACAGTTCGACTAATGGGGGTTTCACTGAAGAACCTCAAGTGCTCCTGTTGCCTCACTGTGGGCTATGAACAGGACACCCCCAAGTGCTTTTCCCGCCTGATCCACCCAGACACCCGCCAGGCAGAGGCTGCATTTCCTGGTCCATTGAATGGCGGCCTGGCAAGGGGAACCAATCAGGGCTTCCCACGTCAAGGAGAAGGGCTGGAAGGGGAGGGGGAGGATTCCCTCCTGGGCAGTCAGACTGCAGACCAGGAACCCAAAGAGGCTGAATGTGCACAAGAAATCCGACCATAAAGGAGGAAAGTCCAACCTGGATCCAGAGACTCACCTGTCCTCAGCAGCGTCTCCTTCCCATAGGACAGGTGCTTCTCCAGCCACTCAATGCAGATTTCCTCCAGGTAGAACTTCTTTCTCTGATTATGTCCTGGAATAGCATCCCATTTCCTCTGGGTGATCTGGGCCTGGGGTTGGGGAGCTACCCAGGTGAGTCTCTCCTTGTCGAAGGTGAGGAAGGTCCTCCCATCATAGCCATGCTGCCAAAATCCTTCTTTTCTCCCATCAGCCTGGAGCAGAAATCCTCCTTTGCTCCTATTAGCCTGGAGCTCACAGCCATACATCGTCTGCAATGTGTGAAAGCCTATAATAGGAAGATGATGATGGTTTGGGGATTCCTCAAGATAGACACAGACCCCCTTCCCTGCAAGGACTTTGACACAGGCACTGACACCTCCATTTCCTCCCTAGCAATCAAGGGAAAGAAAGCCCCCATCACTACCTGCCCTTCTCCCCTCCCTCGACCTGCCTCCCTCCATTTCCCCCCCCCAGGATGGAGCCCCTGAACCTCCCCAGGAAAAGGGAAGCTGGAAGAGCCAGCGGAGGATCCCGAGGGAGATCGAGAAAAGAAGGAGTC